TATTTAGGTAAATCAACGGAGAATATGAAATTATTTGCACTGTCCTCAGTGCATTCTCACAGAGTGAGAATTCTCTACATTCTCACAGAGTGAGCAGAGAAAAAACCATGATGACAACCCCCTTCCACAAAACCTCAGCAGAGGGATATCTGCTTTTCCTATCTCTTTTGCTAAATCCTCCTGCTCCTTATTAAATGAGCTGCAGTGAGTTTTAACAGTATAGTATAACCACCCCATTGTTTCTTATGGCAAGACTACATTTTCTCAGTCTACAGTTTTTCTTGTTTTCTCATGACCAATTTGTCTGTTTCCTCAACTGCTACAGAGACCTTTTCAGATTAAAATGCTACCTTTCCCTCCCAAGTTTATACAATGAAGTAAAATGGCATTTTGCATGATGCATTTGCCATGACCACATGGAAAAATGATGTAATAAGTGTTCTGGTGATAGAACACCCTGGTCTGTGCCATTTGCAATAATCACTTGAGTGTGATCAGTCTAGTACAAATGCAGAGACAAACACCAGAAAAACAGTTGAACTTGATTTCCATCCCTTATATGCCATCTCCAGAGTGAGAATTCTTGAACATATAATAGAGACAGGAAAAGTAATAACAGAAAGTATATTTCATTATGATCCTGTTGTTAATTTAAGAATCTGAATTTATTAGTTCTGAAAGAACTGACTTTCAAATCCCTCCAAAACTGTTCAGCACTCTGTTGACTATGATGTTTCTTATGTTGTTAAAAAGAGGTTGTTAAAAATGCTATTAAAAAGAAGTTGCATTATCATTAATGCACGAACTTATTGTTCCTAAGCATCATGTCTTATACAATGCTGTTGTTTCCTCAGGAAAAATAATATTTTTCAAAAGTTTTCCATAGCCATGCAGCTTTAATTGCATTGTTCGGATGCTTGTGGTTTCTTTTTTCTTACTTCGGAAGTCTCCATTTATACAAAGGTGTGTACTGTGGAACTTCCAGCTACAGCCATGTACAATTGTTATGCAGGACTAGCAGCAACTCATTTCACATCAACAATGAATTTTTATGTATAAAGTATCTTCAGTTGTATTTGTCACTTTGAAACCTGTTGCTTATCAGCTATAACTCATAATAATTTTGGAGAAGTAGTCCACACTGAAAAAATTAAGGAAGAAACAGTCTTAAGCATTGTCTTAAATTAAAATACAATTATCTGACGCTGATTGTTTACAACTCATCTTAGAAGAAATTAGAATTTTGAATAGAATATATATACCCACAATAAGTAACATATTTTCTCAGTGAAGATTTATGTCAAGGATGCACTCAGTGCCTACCTACCAGGAATTGGACTTGAAGATTAGTCAAAGACAGAACTTGAATTTAATACTGCTGAAACACAGAAAGTAAACCTAGGATTTAAGATCCCACTAGTGATATGCTGCATACTGGATCATGGAATTATCATCTTTCATTAGACAGAGAAAGGAAACTGGAAGGCACACAGCACAAAATTTCAGATGCTTTATGTAATTATTAATACAAGAGTTACCCCAACTACCAGGCCATGGTTATCCTGATCACCTACAACTTACTGCAGTATTTTTAAGTGTTCAAAAAGCATAAGAAATGGAGCGGATTATATTTCATTACCTGAGGCCAAAATTTTAAAGCTTTTAAAGTGCCCTAAATACTCTGGCTGGAACTCACTGCACTTAAAAAGCACTTAAATGTGATACAGTTACTTGAAGTTATACACCTACTGTCTTTCTTTAGTCAATGAACAGAAACTATTGTCTAAGCAAGTTGATTTGCCCACCTATGTTAAGACACCTGGCCGCAGATGGGTAAGTTGATGATTTAACTGCTCTTACTATCCTGTTTCAAAAACCAGATGTGAAGTACTAGGTTCAAAGACTGGAATAATTTCACCACTCTCTGACACTCAGTAACTAAGGTACCACAGCAACAGAAATCAATGTTTCTGATAATGTTCCCATTCTCAAGCATGGAAATACTGATTTCTGCACACGCACACAATATTCGCTATGTTTATAAAAAGATGCATTTATGCTAAAAACATCAGTATGAACATCTCAAAATAGGAAAATTTTGCTATCATACATTTATCTGATAAAACAATATTCAATACAATTTTAACAACCTAATGCTTAACTGACGTGCTCGGCTTTGACACTGTCACTGGGACTCTTCTCACATTTCCTGCCAATGCTCTAGTACTAAACAAATATCTTGCCACGAAAGCTTGTCTAGAATCGAAATTCTGCACCTTCTCAGATGAATGCTGTGATCCCTAAATTGTCCATCACCTCTTGCTTCTTTCTCTAATACCATGCTCCATTGTTCCTGGCTGTGTGGCAGCTACAAGATGGAAGGCAACGTAATTGCTCAGCATATACCTGGTGTCATGGCTAGTACAGCCTCCTGGGAATCAGGAGATGGAGGTTTAATAGAGCCCCCAAATTCATAGGTGAGTACAGCAATTATCACGCAACCAGAACACTTCTCTAGGGGAGAAACATCCAGAGTTCCTGGATGAACCTTCTCAGGAGACTAAAAGTAAGTTGGTGCTTGTGTCAGTAAAATCTATTTTTTTTACTAGTTTATTAACTATTTTTCATTTTAAAAAAATGGTATTATGTAATCTGTGTAGTAATGCAAAATTTGTGTCTTCATTGTTTGCCATACTCTTGCTCTCCCTATTGTCCCTATGTTTACCTCCGTCTTGCTCTCCCTATATTGTCATTTTCTTAAGTAATGCTCTTTAATAAAAATGAGGAACCCTGACCAATGTGGTCATACAGGCAAGGAAGAGGCCTCTTTTCTTCCTTGGTCCTCTGCCTCCCACACAGACCTCTCCCTTCCTCGACTTTTCCTTGCAGATTGCATTCATTCCCTTTTTGCCTTAGCAAAGAAAAGGTAAAAATGTCACAAGTGAGCAGGTATTTAGTCATAGCCTGTATATTTTGCCTAACAGCTCATAGTCTCACAGAAGCTCAGTGATCGTGCACTGTTTGGTACAAGGCATGAATGAGCATGGGCTCTTTCTCCAGTGGTATCTCAGGGCATTTACTGTTGCTTCAATTTATCAAGAACTGAGCAACACGTCCTTACAAATTTCAGAAGAGTCACCACAGTAAGACCTGAAACTACATCTTTTGACAAATGGCATATCATAAAAATGAAAGAGGAAGGCTGAATCTTGAGTTACGGTGTAACTCTGTGTATTTGCCGTTTTTATAGGCAAGAACTGCTACAATATGCAGTATTTTAGCTGTAAACACAGCTATCAATGTAGTCATATCTACATAATCATATTCACAGATATCTCAGTTTATCCAGCAGAATGGCAGACGGTACATAAGATATGTAAACAGATCTGCCAAACACTTACAAAACAACTTTAATAGCAAGTGTCATTCTTTTCTGTAAAGTAGCTGTTTTTAACACACATGATCTAACTCTTGTTTGCTCTTTAAAGTTTTATTGTCTTGGCATTTTATACAGGAAGAGAGCATTAGCATACTCAGGAGAACTGCTAAAAGTAAAAGGCCTCAAGCTACCCACTGCATGGTTGATAGCATAAAGCATGGGATATAAAAACTTTTGTCTGATTGCTCACTTTACTTGTTTTAAAGTAGTGTTACTCTCAGGAGCATATATTCATGTTCTTTCTACTTCAAGTTTTATTACTTCTTTTGTATTATTTAATACATCTAAAGACACTTCCAAAAGACAAATTTTTCCATTTTGAAAAAGTAATGGTTTGGAACCTGATAAAATACATGAATGTTCACAGTGTATTATTTTCAAAGGCAAGTAGAACAAATGTACAATAAAACAATTAAATGCATGACAATAAACATTTCTGTGTGAGCACAGATATATTAACATACCAAACAAAAGAAGAAAAAATTGGTAAAATATTTTCCCTAAAAAAAGGTCAGATCAAAATGGATTCTTTGCACACCAGAGCATAAGTAAAAAGGGAGTCTGCTCTAAATTACTGTTACTGCTAAATATCCCACTCTAGAAATTAAAATGAGCATTTAAAATGTGAAAGAGAAAATGGAATGAAAAAAGGCAAATGAGTTCAGCTTTTTTAAACATAAAAAAAAAAAGGGAGAGATACCATAATTATAGATACACATTAAAAATCATTCTACAGTAAACTTAAAACTAAGTCTACTTAGATATCACACTGCTAATTATTATATAAATAACCTAGGAAACAATACCTCCAAGATACATGTTTTACTATTTAGTAAACAAGAAACTGCCATGTTTGACACCACTGATTAAGGCCAGGCATTCCTAAAGCTTCAGACACATTTCTGAAATCCACAATACATCAATTTTTAATACTTCCACTCTCTCAGCTCCATTAAAAAGATGGTAGGGGAAAGATTTTAGAGTAATTAATGATATAGTTAGCTGCTAAATATTAATAGGAATCGTAGTCTTGCATAAAATATAACATATAAACCTTGCCAATACAGACGCACCAGTAATTAAACTTGAATATGTAATTACACTGATTTATATGACAGGCAAAAAGTTACACTTTACTGGCTTCTATGTAAACTGCGGGCAACAGTTAAAGTTTGCATTTTATGGTTTATATAAATGAGCAATATCTCTACTACAGTTCATAAATGGTTTAGAGACTCATAGTTAAAATTACAACTAATTCGAATGTGAACATTCTGACTACACCTTACAAACCAGGCTGTGAAAATGACCACAGAGATTATTATGTTCAATGCTTGCAAGCAAGATGATGAGATTTAAAAAAAAAAGGCAAAAAAAAGAGCTTACACCAATCTTACTACAAAGTAAACGAAGACACATCTATTTAAATGTTTTAATATAAATGTTTAGTTTCAAATATATAGCTCCAGACATTTCACTTACCATCTTTCAAAGCAGTTTTGAGTAATATTGTGTCTTAGACTAAGGCATTTTTTCTTGAAAGGAAGCTAAGTGGACTTACATGTGAGGCTGAGGAGAGCAGCCTGGACTGCTATTTCCATTACTGTCAATGTGATCCAGTGAACCATTGAGATCTTCATGGACTGCCTGCAGTAAGCCACTGGATGCGTTATTTATCAGTCCTGGGTTACTAAGCAATGGTAAACTACTCTCTGCCAGTGCAGCCTACCAAAATGAAGAGTAAAACCAAAATGATTACTCCATATATATACAAAGCACTCATATATGTATGAACATTTAGAAATATACACACACAGAGCAGCTCATTTTGAGTAGCTGTAGAGGTGGTCAGAAGGATTTTGTGCATTTCCAATTATTTTCACATTCTGAATATAACAGCATTTCTACTTCTGGTTTGCAATTTCTCTTACTTAGGTTTCATTATTTTCCATTATTAACTATGTTCTGATATTCATGGCATTTTCTAGTTTTATATCATTTTTTGACTCTGAATTACACTTAACCCCTTTGCCCTTCCACACAATGTATGGCTCCTTTATAATGCAGGCAGCTGCTATACTTTAAAAAATGACCAGAACTTACCTCAAAATAAAAAAGTCCTGACATTTGCCTTTTCTGCATAAAAATTATATATTATAATTAAACTTTAAAGTTTTTGCCATGAGCACCATGTTCCCAACACTATGATGTGAAATCATTTATGACAGCTTGGATAAATATTAATGCATATCCACATGCATTTGCAAAAGCTTCTATCAATCTAACATTTGCAGCAAAACTGAGTGTTCCAGATTTTGCCACAGGGTGTCCTTCTTGCTTCTTCACATCAAAAGTAGAATGAATAAGAACTAGTACTTGCAGTGCTAGGTAATGCAACTTACTCGGATGATAAACCCAACTATTTAGAA